ACTCTTTGACAACCCATGAAATCAGTTTAACTTGAAGTTGTCGTAACCTCAGTGCTTTAATAAAATGAGAAATTTCGCCGGTCTATTGAAACCGGTCGTTTGGACAATAAAGCAAGTAGGACGCCAAGTGTTATTTTTGATGAATAATAAAAGACTTTATAAAAGAATAAATATCAAACCAGAAATTGCTCTCTTCAAACTATAAAATTATAAATGATACTGAGAGAATATTCAGTGTGTTGAGGATTTCCCTGCTGTACTGCTAGCTCTATACAAGGGAGGAAGGGCGATTCTTTTTTAATTTCCATTTCGCTGACACAGCTTTAGCAGAAATCTCTCTTAGGTCATTTTCGTTGACAAAACGTCTGCCGCCAATTTTTTCAGCGTCAATTTGTGAAGCACGTGTGGCTCTGAGCGTGGGTCATCCACGCGGAACACATTCGCGCTATGTGATTGGCTGTTGTCTAACTCCCCTCGGGATCTGTGGTCTTAAAAATAACTCGAGACGAATTACCTATGGAATAGGGTGTGTATGGGAGATGCCTTCTCTGTCCCCTTTATCCTCTCTTGTGCAAGGTTACAACAAAAGCGTACTACCAGTGAAAAAACATTCAGCTCATTTCTTTGAAAACGTCTCAGCCATGATACAGGCAGGCCTTAGACTGCCGTTGGCTTAACATTTCCTCTAAAGACAGCTCGACCAAGACACGGAACACTCGTTCACTTTAAGACGACCGCCATCTTCTTTGCAGTCGCGCCACTTCCGGTTTTACCCTCCCCTTCCATAACAGGTATTTTTGGTCGATTCGCAATTTTGTTTTTCATAAATACGAAAATCAAAAAACGATTTTTAGTTTGGATTTCACCAGCAGTAGCACCGTTTCTTGAAGAATTTGCTACACATGAATTGCTTCGGTTAAGTTTAAATTTTTAATAGCTTGAATCTTGGGAGGAGGAAATTGAAAACAAAAAGTTAAAACCACTAACTGGCCATTTTCAATTTTTAGTTTTTGATTTTCAAAATATTGAAGTCAGGAGAAGTATAATGTCCAATTTTACCTTTCTTAGCAAAAAACATTGAAAATTGAGATTGTAAATTTTTGATTTTCACTTTTTTAGGATCAAACATTGAAAATCACGATTGCGAAGTTTTGATTTTCAATTTTTAATATTGAATGAAAATCAAATGGACGAAAACCACACGGACCCAGCTTCAGACCCAATTTCGCACAAAACATATAGCCTTAATCTAGGATTATTGCCGATACTGTTACACTGAAGCTTTCAAAATAGCTCATGCACATAAAACGCGCCTATGTTTATTATAAGTAAGATTCCCTTGAGGTTTAGGCTATATTTCTTTTCTGTCATCTGCACTCACGTTATCACCATTGGCTGAATACCGGCCGGTACAATAAAAAATGTTACGAGCAATTTCATTTAATTTAAACATTAACCACAACAACTAAACTAGTAAGTTGATCATTAAATGACAGAGTAATCGAACACGTGCAGCGTGCAAAGAAAGTAGTGACCGATAGCCCGGGGCTAGTGGATTTTGCTACCGGGCTAGTGAATTCTGCCCGACGAGCAAGTGAAGTAGTTTGAGGAATTCATCTTACAGAAGAACTGTTAAATCATTTCTGCTCTTCAAAAAATTTTGGGGGCTAGTTGAAATGACATTTGGTTGAGTAAATGTTAGCTTCAGCTTGCCCGAATGGCAAGCTGTAAAAATGACTTTCTTTGCACCCTGACGTGATTTTTATTTTAACATTAGTTTTCTCAAGTAGCTCAGACAATTAAGTTACACGCGGACAGCCATTATTTTCGGACAGTGTTTACGGTCAATGATTTTCTTACGGACTGTAGGCCTTTTCGACCGAGCAAGGTTTTACCCTTCAGGTACGATCGTTTTATTCCTTAATCTGTTCGTCTTTAAACTCGACTCGGTTGTTCCGTTCTAGCTATTTTATTTTAATATAATCAGAAATCGACCCCAAATAGGATCGGAATGTAATCTTATAAATCGTTCATTTGTACCTTGATTTTCAGAATTGTTACTTTATTAAAGCCATCAACGGATTCCTTTTCCCGGTTGTTGTCTGCTGGGGTCTATGCCATATATAATGTAAGAAAGATAAAAATATAAAAATAACTTACCGTGTGTTCTCAGTTTCGTCTTCTGCATTTCCGCGCTCTTGTGGCGTTTTGAGCACAGGGTACCCACACAAATTGTGTGACTGTTTTTTAAATGTTTGAATTTTAATAGAGGAAATGTATGTGCCAGTGAATATCGAAGAGATTCATATCATCGTTATGTGATGCAATGAATTCTTATATATAAGATCAAAATAAACATCTTTTTACCTGAAAAGTTGTGTATTGTCGTTCTTGCAGCTGAAAATGACGAATAATAGCGATTTCAAAGGGTTTTGCATATTCCCATACATTTCCTCTAAATTAAATATCACTATGACAGCCACACAATTTGTGTGGGCGCCCTTTGTTTTGAGTCGTTTGAAGCTGACGCGCCCGACTAATATCACAGGTACCATACCCCAAGCTCAAGAGAGTGATGTTGTTGCGTAACAGAAATATTATAAGCGTTTGCATAGGTATTTTAGCAATTGCGTTTATTTAGTGGTCAAAAATAGCAATAAAAATACATCAGAATTTCTTACTTTGTCTCCCTGTTTAAATTTATAGTGTCGGTTCTTAGCATTATGGGGCGTTTCACGAGCAATTCCTGCGAGTTTTAGCTATGCTTTGCTCTAAATTAAACATTGCTGATTAGTCTAAAATGAAAACTAGTTTACTCAGCAAATCAAATATTGTTGGATTTCTCGGAATTTCTTCGATGCTCTTTCAAACGTTTGCTAGGAAAACAGAGATGGAATGACAAATAATTGTGAGGCCTATGATGGTCTTCCGATTCTTACATAAAACCGACTGCAAGAGGGTAAACTGAGCTACTCGTAAACAACGGACTTGAAACTTCATCTTCGCCGGGATTAGTTCTAACGTTAAGTCGCTAGAGAACGTCTAAAGTCTTCCATATCGAGTTTCCTCACATTTTAAAAGGACTAGAACTGAAGACTGTTAAGTTTCTCGGCGAGAATTGTATTTAATCAACGTTGTTTGTGTCACTGATTGTCGCCGTCGCCATGCGTATCATGCACACGTTCAAGTCTGTATTGATCTTCTTTGTTGTATTTTGAACTTATAACGTTTGTATGTTCTGACTATTTTTAATAAATGTCGACATTTCATTGTTCAGGCATCTTTAGTCTAAAAACACGGTTTTATTGAACATTACAATTCCGGGAGACGATGCATTTTCTCGGTCCAACCGGTCTTCTGGAGTACAAATACCGTGAGATATTTGTACTCGTTTTGGGTATTATCTGTACTCTACTGAGTGAAGTCGAATAATCGGTCATATTTTCGTACAATCCCGTGTTAGTATTATATTTAGATTTAATATCCATTTGCTATTTTCACTGCGCGTAATTGAAACAAGGGATTTTCCCAGAAAAGCTCAATAGAGTTTGCTAAGATCTCCTGCCATGTGTTTCTCGGTATATACACTCAGCATCAGAAAATATTAGACCACTGCAGCCCAATACACGCGTAGTATACGCGTCTTACTGGTTCATTTGTAGGAGAGTTAACATAAAAGTGGGAGAAATCGCGTGACGTGGATATCGCTCTGGCATTAGGAGAAGTTGCTGTCCCCTGGATAAACAATGAAATCAAAGAAGCTATGTGTCATCAACGACAGGTTTACGCTATATAAGACATTTTCGATAAGTCGAGGCCGGTCTGGAAGATCTTGGTACCGGATTCGTTTTACCGTTATAAACCTGCAAGCAGACGTTACTTCTTGGTCGTAATTATGTACTTTTCGCAAGCCAGTACCGAATCACGAAAAAGTAAACTTGGTTCATGGGGGCGAGGGCAAATGGATGGGGGTGCTGAACGAGGTTTTTAAGTCAATTTTTTCTCTAAATAAAAATATAATAATAAGATCTATTTTGGTTTTGGTTATCCCTGGAGTGACAAAATACAGCGGATTTGTATGAAATTGTCCATCCAAGCCTTTGACCTCGTTTCATTGTGAGTGCTCACTGCATTGGAATCAGGTAAGGTTCACTATAGTTCCGGTTTCCGACAACCGAAATATTATGTTCCGGTAGGCTAGGTGGTCCAAAAAATAACGAATATCCAATTGAAAACGTTTTTTTTGTTTTCGCATAATTTTCAACCCTAGATGATACCGAACCATGAACAGGGTAAAAATAAAAATCATCTGAATCATCATCATAAAAATCATCATCTACAATCAAATCAAGCATAATTTGTCAATTTTAATCAGCTATCTTGCACACAATTTATAATTAATTGTAACTTTATCTTAAAACTTTTGCAACTTCATATAGTCATGCAAGTAATGCTTACGTTGTTGACAGAAAAAAAACAAAAGACAAAAAACTCATGTTTTTTTTGTAAATTTTAGAAATATGGAAAAAATCTACAATGTAGAAGTTGAAAAATTTAAACACAGAAAATATGGCCTAAATAATCTTTTTCTTCGCTCTTCTTGGTCCAGTGGGCAATTTCTCTAATGATGTGAAAAGTATTTCACTCAATCTTAGCTTTCCTTAAGGGAAAAAATATCGATAATAGAATTTAATGTTGATATAACTCTGAAATTGGGCATATCCCCAGTCAAGCTCAGACACGTTTTTGAATCCCACTAATTTTTTTTTCTTTTCTTTTTTTTTATGATAAAATTATGGCCAGGTTTTTTTCAATAACATTTTATTCAATTTATTTTACATTGGAAAATTAAGTTTACAACAAGATAATTTTATTGAGGTTATTGAGATTATGTCTAATGAAAATTATTATAAATAATTTACCGTATTTAAATCCTTCCCCATTTAAATCTGATAAAACAACCAGTTGTATTCTAGTACATAAAAGGCATCTAAAAACTTGTACATATCGAAAGTATCGGTGATTTTGCAATGAAAAGTAATCTTTATTGCTTCTAATTTATTTCAATTTTGTATGCTAGACCTTAAAAAAGGACCTTCCAACTGGACAGACTTAAAAAGCCGGTTCTGTTAGGGCCCAGACCCCGCAATCTCCCGCCCTAATAGTGAGCAGAACAAATTGAATCTTTTTACCGGAAAAATCAGCTTTTATTTCGCTTTCCCATGAACCACCAACTCCAAAAAAATTAATTTTACATTATTTTGATTTTATCAGGTCCAGTTTTTATCTACAAAATAGGTAATTTTTTTTTTAATTTTACCTATTCACTTTTTGTTTATTTATTTGTTTACTGAAAAGAATCATGGAAGGTACTAAGAGTAATTCAAAGCTTAGAGACAATAATTTTGAACAATTTTTCACAGAGATATGAATTTTGGTAAAGGCCTCCTTAGTGAACAGGAAGGATGTTCAACACATCCAGTTGACTCTGTCTTTGGTGGCAGAACCAGGTCCAGCGGCAGGTGTAAAGATCTCCTTCTTTCCTCCTCCTTCCAGCACCAGGGTCTCTCCTTCCCGTCTGAGTGAAGTCAGACCTTCCAGGATGGAGGTAGCCTCATTCTCCAGCTGCTGGAGCTCTGGAGGCGGCATCATCATTGTTGACATGACTGGTCCTGGCACAAGTTTACCATCAGCACCCTGAGTTACATTGCAGGATATAATGTTGGCCACCTCGGCTGCAATGTGCCAGGCTGCTTCTCCAGTTTTCTCAATCATCAGCTTGAACCTCCCCTGCCAGTCTCCCTCCACCCCTTGTCTTGGAGTGGGAACAAGCTGGAAAGCAGCCAGGTTAGAAGTAGCAGTCTCAGAGATTGTCACACTCTGTCCTGGTTCATCCATAGAAACCGCTGGACGGAACTCCACGCCACTGTAGCCAGAAATATCAAATGCCACTCCAAGTCCACTTCCATTTTTAGAGAATGCCTGCACAGTCTTGTCACCAGTTTGTTCTAACCGCATTCCAATGACATCACCATCACCAAACTTAGGTCCCCAGCGACTGGTCACCAGGCTACTGCCATCACTCAAGTTGCCCGGCCCGCCATAGAACAATCCCTTCATCCCCCAACCAGCCGCAAACTTATCCTCAGCAGAAACTCCCACCCAGGTTCCGGAACTTCCAGTCACTTTAAACTCCCAACTACCTGTTCCGCCTTGACTCCAGATAGCATTCCCCTTGGAGTTGCCACTCCCAGTGAAGCTAACCTTTGCTCCAGAAACTGTCAGGTTACCAGATCCATCATCTCTCCATGCCATGTTGTTGAACTGATACTAGAGCTGGATTCTCCTGTGTTAATGTAAGTAAAGGTTAGGCTACACTTTTAGAGGTTTATAATTGACAAGGCCTCCATGGGAAAATGTCCCCACAAAAAGGAAGAGAGCGTGGAGACATTTTTGCGTGGAGCCCTTCATTACAATAATAAAATTATTATTATTACTTTGTTAACATGTGTTTTTTTCTTCAGTTGATGATGTCATCTATTTAAAAAACCACTGACCACATTTTCACTGCATTGAGAGTTCAAGTATTTATCCTCAAGTATAATTTTTTTCATAGGTTTAAGATGTCATCAGTTTTGTTTCACTGGCTAAAATAAAAAAAAAATGGTGTTTGGAAAAATGGATCACCTTAAACGCCCCATAGAAATTGAGATATTGGGTTTAAAAAAATCAAATAAGATTACTACTTCTAGCCTGTGTGGCTGGTAGGTTTGTTATGTGCTGGGCATTTTCTTTATGGGATGGGGAAATAAAATTTGACTTGCGCCCAAACTTGTGGTTCTGCTACCAAAAACAACAGCACATCCCCCACTAACCCACCAGCTGGCTATAACTGAATCAAACGGAATCAACTGAAAAAATCATTGAAAATTACAACTACTGTAAGTGCTGACAAATTTAAGATAAATAACGATATTATTATTTTTGCCTAGAAGTTAATTATTCATGTGGTAACCTTTTAAGACATTACAGTATATTTTCTTTCTTAACCATCAGTACCATCAGGATCAACAGAAAACATTTATCTTTATCTCAGCAGAATTACATGAAGGGTTAAAAAAGACTATTAAAGCAATGTCTTTTTACCTTATATCCCCTTATATTCATACTGTTTGTTGCATAACATTTCAATCATTTATGCATGTAAATCATCATAGGGGTGCTTGCCATTTTGCCAAACAAGCTGGTAAGAAACCAGTAGATCTTGCCAAGTGAAAACGTAATAACATTATTCTTGAAGCAAAGTTTCTAACTAGGTCAAAGCATTCTATTTAAGTTAAGACCTGAATTCTGATTACTTTTTGCAAGGTGAGACTTGAAATTTGGGAAATTGAAATGGTAAAGTGTTAGCCGGACAAGACTGACTGCTCAAAATATTAGTTAGGACCAACTCTGGATTGGATCAGTTTTTCTGGAGAATTTTTAACAGCCAGACATTCC